AATCTATATAGAGAATTGAAAAGAGGGTATTACTAAAAACTATCATTGTTTAAAATAGCCATTTTTTTCTGTTATATTAGTAGTTAAATCTTACTTCACCAATGATTTAAAAAAAAAAAAAGAACCACATGCTTATATTAAAATTTTAGGTCGTTATCGTGTAGGTGTGAAATGGGATGCAAACCAGACTACTTTTGCTGAACATAATGTACTTTTGGTTTATGAAAATGGATGTAAGTTCTAAACATTTTTAGCATTAACTAATATGTTATAGGCAAAGAAGGCATTACTTTAAGCATTTTTCTTGGTATTAAGTAATCAAATGTTAGACTTACAGTTAACTTTGCTTATAATTATCTAACATTTTTTTGAGAATGTTATAAGACCTAAAATTTATATAAATTAAAAGTTACAAGCTTCAGAGATGTTTATGTTTCTGTGTAGATTGGTTTTGGCTCATTACCAGTTTTTAATTTGCACTCATAACCTCATTGGTTGTAACATTGTATTTTTGTTTTTGCAACATTGAGTTTTTATTTTTGTAACAATATGTGTTTGTTTTTGTAATGTTGTGTTTTTGTTTTGTAACATTGTTTTTCAGAAGATTGTAATTCAAAAGTTTCATAGAAGTGACATTGTTAGAGAATATTTCCTTTTTAATGTTTAATTTTTGTTTTTATTACCTTCATGCAAGTGGGATATGAAAAGATGAGTCCAGAAGAATCCTTTTACAGAAGTATGGATTCTAGAACCACCAGTGTTCAAGTTACTTTTACTGGTGGTTCTGTCCCAGATGTACAATTATTTTGTATAGTAACTGGACCAGGTAAGAACACTTTTTATATGTGAAACATTAAAGAAAATTAACTGTTTATTTTAGTTTGAAGTGCATATAAAAAGTTGTATGTAAAATGTTTATTCAATCTTTACATATAGCTTGAATTCAGTGACAACTTTACAGTTGCAAAACCAAAAAAAAAAACGAATTTTTCTGATTGCAGAAAGATATTGTTAAGATAATATATTTATGAATGATGCATATAACAGGTCATATGGCTGTTTCATTCTAGGAAATTAAATATTAATGAGGATAGTGACATTTCTTGTGTTCATGTTTTTCTCTTGGTAAGAGTATAGAATAATAGCTGACTTGTGTTCTTTGTGTAGTAAAATGTTAACCTACATAATATTCCAAACTTTTCTTATGAGTAAGAAAATTCATTCTATAGATGTTTACTTATTGATTGTTTTTTAAACTTAGTTTTTGATTTAACTTTTGACATATAAGAAGACATCTTATGGTAAAAACTATATAAAAAAATTCTAAAGATTTAAAAAGATATATTGGTGTTTTTACAGAGGGAGAAAGTGTTGCTTTTACTGTTCATACATTTCAGGATAATGCTCTGAATGAATCGACCTGTGCATCAATTAAGTTGCACCACAACCCTTTAAAGCTTTCATAAAAGGTGATTAAACCTAGATAATAAAGTTGCTGATGTGAGAATTATTAAAGAATTGTTTAGTTTTCTAGCAACCAATGACAAAAACATACATTTTGTTACAAAGTAATTAATACAGTTAAGAAGTAAAACAGAGTTTATGAGAAGAAAAATCTGTATTTTTTTTTAATTCAGTCAAAGTTTACAACTCTAACCTGTTTTTAATGTTTTGATATGTTTTATAATATGTCTTATGTATAAAAATTACTGACAGCTGAATAGAATTGAATAGTGTTTATAAAAAATGCTAGTGTTCAAACTCACCATTCTTCTTATATAACATATAATTCTTTATATTTGTTTTATATTAGCATAAAAAGAAATTGTGGTTTTATTTTCATTGTGAAGTACTAAACTTTTGTTCACTAAAACTTAGGCCTGGCATGGCCACGTGGTTAGGGCGCTTGACTAGCAATCTGACAGTTGCGGGTTCGAATCCCCATCCCACCAAACACGCTCACCCTTTCAGCCATGGGTGCATTATAATGTGATGGTTTATTAGGGACAGCCCTCATGTAGATTTGCATAAAATTCAAAAACAAACAAACACTAGAACTTTAATGCATTCAGAATTATATAACAACTGCTTCTCTTAAGATGTCTTTCACTTTTAAGCATTTTTCCTACAGGTTACTTCTAGATTAAAGCATGACAAATACATAAATGAAGAAGACTAGAGACTATACCTGCAATTATCATTATCATGTAATAGACTCTGATGTCATTTATTTTTCTAGGCAAAACAAAAATTATAAAGTTCTATAAAAATTTGAAAAAGAAACCTTAATTTAGCCTGAAAGGTAATGAGTTTTAATATTTGATTTTTATTAATCTTAATAATAATTTAAAAGGAAAAGCAATTTTATTTTGGTATGATAAATTATAAAGTAATAAATTTATGATATAATTATATTACATAATATAATTTGAACTTCTGAATATGCTACGTTGTTCTGTGTTTCTCATATTCTTTATTAATTTCAGGTGAACCACATGGTATTATTGGCACTGAAAGTGGTCCATTTTTGTTGGATGGATCTGAATCGGAAGGAGGAGATCATCCATTATTGTATCAATGGAGCTGTCATGATGAGGTAAACAAGGTTGAAAAGCTGACTAAAGTATTGCTTTGTTTGTTGTTAAATTTGTCTGCAGGCTTTTTTTGTCTTCAAGTATATAGAATGTATGATATTGTGGTAATATAGTGATTTACTTTTTGTCATAAATGAAAACTGTTATTAACTTATTTCACAGAGTTTTGTTACATATTTGCTTCAGTAGCACAAAACATATGCATTTTCTTCACTTTTGCTGAAATATGTATTTGGTGACAGCCTACCAACAAGTTGTACAACCTTGCAAAAAGGTCAAAATGGTTTAAAAATATTAAATCTCACTTCTGCAAAATTTACTACTCAAGTTATTTGAAGATTTATCCAAGATAAAATAAACATAAAAAAGGTCAATGTAGGTATTGATTTTTAGTTTTTTTATATTCTCTATAATTAAAATAAAGCTTTTGCTTTCATTATGCATATAGACTGGTGAACCATGTTATAACATCCAGGATACTTCTCAGACCCATCTCTTGATAACCAGGCAAAAACAAAGCAAAGCTATAATAGAACTTATAGGGAATCAGTTGGAAGTTGGGAAACATCTTAAGTTCTCCCTTCAGGTATTCAGTGCTAGAGACCAAAAAATAAAAGTAACACTGCGACTTTGTTACTGATGGTTGAAAATGAAGATATGCCTCAGGTAAGTTTCTCATTGAAATTTTCTCTAAACATTCATATAAAAGTTTGATCTGGGTGTAATTTAGCATTGCCATAGCATAAGTTAGTCTCTTAAATTATTGGCCCTATGGTGGCTTAGTGGTAAATCTAAATGCTTCCAACACTAAAAATTTGGTTTTGATACTTGCAGTCAGCACAGCACAGATAGCTAATTGTGTATCTTTCAGCTTAACAACAAACAAACTTATTTTATTTTCCGTGTTGCAGAACTTTATTTTATTTCAGAGAAATTTGATGGAATTCTATCAGAATTTAGATGGGCTTGAATTTCAGCCAAAAATTAGGAATTCCAAGTTTTGTAAGTATAATTATTCCATTATAATAAAATAGCTTAAGAAACGAATTATATTTTTCATGAAGAGAAGCTTTAAATTTTCCCTGTGACTGACATTATTTTCTAGATTTATTGCGTAGGCTACATTTTAATGGAGAGTAGTCATGTTATAAAAATGATCCATAAACATTTCCACACTTTTATACATTTAATCCAAGCCTATCACAAATATAAATTTCTTTATTGATGAATCAGGTGTTTTCTTTGATAATTTGAAACTAAAGAATTTAGGAGAAAAAAAAAGAAGAGAAAGGTGCATAGTGTGAGTAAACTCATTATTTATTGAGCAGGTAATAATTATACATTCTCAGAAGAAAGTATTTCTATTTATATAGTAGAACATCATATTATTGTTTTGTTCAAATGAGTTTTTACAGGGATTGTATTGTTTTATAAAATAAATTTTTCTTAATTGTTTTTATAGATATGTCTGTAAAGTTTGACTAATAGTTTTCACTCTTGTAATGTTCATGACTATTGTAAATATTGAGGTATCTGGAATGTATTAAAAGCTGTGCAGTCTTAACCAAGAACGTTATAGATGTTGTACAAAAAGAAAATTATAGCATATAATTATGTCTTAAAGTGCTATTAGCTTGCTTTACAAGTTAAGAGAGTCTTAGTGAATTAGGATTTGAGTCAGTGTCAGTCAATTAAAATCAACTATTAACTATAGTTTTATTTATCAGATCTTCCAAAATTTTTTAAAATGAGGATGATTCTCATGAGCTTTTGTAAATTTTTAAGTTATGCAGAAAAAGTGAGATGGGAACTAAGCTTAGCTATAGTTTATATATTTTTGTGGTGAATACCTATTTTAATACCTAGAAATTGTGAAACTTGTTGAAGTTATTTTGTTGTATCATAAGAAGAGTTGCATATCTTTAATATACCACATTTTTATTCCTTAGTTATTTTGTTTATTCTTTTAATTACAAAAGAATTGAAGACCAAAGAGTATAAGAATATCCTAAGACATGTAATTAAGTTTAAACAAAACATGAGTGGCATATTTTAATTTCTAATTTATTTTTCTTCCAGGTTTGGCTTCAATCTGTATCTGTCCTTGGAGTGCCTATCCAAGAAAGAAACCCAGTCAATGGTGCCTATTTTGTCCCTGCAAGAGTGTCTGTTCTTGTGAAAGCAAGGATAAGCATTGTAAAAGGAACAATTGAAGTTTTTAGTTGGAATATATCAGGTTCTGCATGATGCATAATACTGGTATAAATTAGTTTAATGTTTGACAAAGCCAAACAATAATTAGTCTTCTCAATGCTACTTAATATTACAGCAATGACTTAAAGTAAAAATAACTAAAATACGAATAAAAACAGAATATCCTAAATTTTCAATTATTACTTGACACACAAATGGCTATATCTTACTTTCATACATATAAATATGAGGATTAATATTTCCAGTACCTTCATGAATGTGTCACTTAACAACAAATTAAGAAAGAGGTTATTACAGACAGACATGATAGGTTAAAGGATCTTCTGACGTTGGCATTCAAATCTCCATAATGGTTACACACCTGTATTATTAGCACAGAAATACCTAATATATATAGATCAATACATATTACTAGATAAAGGAAACTGTTATAAACTCACCATTATTTGTTGTATTGCAGTCTGAATGCCTATTAGAAACACAAACTGAATATTACCAGTGGAGAAAAGTTTAAATTTTGTATATTTGTAATAATCTCAATTTTGCACCTGTCATGAGCAGTATTTCAACCCAGGACCACTGGGCAACAAGTGAGTGCTTTATCAACTGAGTTTAAAGGGTAATTCACTGGCACTTGTCAGTAAGGCACTTTTTAACAACCTAGACTACCACATTTTTCCCCTATGATAATATGGTTCATTAGTTAGGCATCAGTTTTTATTTGTGGTAATTTTATTTTTACATTTCCTAATTTTAGGATTGAAGCTAGGAATTCTCACATACTAGGCAAGTACTCCACTAATGCAACTAAAGGATTAACTCATTAGATACTGTTAACTTTTCAACTATGTAAACTACCATGTATTCAGTGTTTGGAATGATATTGAAATCCTGTCCTTTTCTGATGATTTTATCCTTGACTTGAACTGACAATATCTAGAGTATCTTTCCATTGTTGATACATAGGTATGTTTAAGGGTATTATGACGTTATTTATTGAGATTTGTGTATTTGATGATAGTTCAATCACATGCATTTATTAAGATTTTTGGGTATGATTTGCATATCATAGGTATGTTAGAATGCACTAATAATACTTTTTAAACTTTAATATTAAAGAAACAGTCTCAGAATTTTTAGTTTTAGCTTCTAATACATCATAATTAATAAGAAGTAAGTTTAATTTTCTATTTTTTTACTTGGCAGGTTATCCATATCCTTGTGTCTACAATGACTTAAAAGGAAGTAGTGAGGGTGAAACCTTCTTATCCCTATCTGAAGGTTCATTGATAAATCTATTATAATTTTTTTCTCATGTCATGTTTTCAGTGAAATATATTTTTTCTATAAGTTGTAGCTTAATTTTTTTGTCAGAATGATTTTGGGCTTAACACTTGAAACTATATTAAAAACACTAATTTACTGTGGTATTTTTCTCTCTCTTGCAAATCTTGCATGGACATTTTTCTTACTGTTTTTACTGAACTTATTAAAAATGTTTATATTATTCACCTGTGCGTTTGAACTAACACTTATTCCCTCCTTTTTTATTATACTTGCTCCTTTTCCTTTTAATTTTAACAATGGTAAATTTATATAAAAGAAGTTTTAATTTTAGTATTGACTTTAATAGTAAATCATAAAAGTTATTAGATTGTACTTTCATTTTTTGCTTTTTCATATACCTTATAGCAATAAGAACACTTACAAGTGGATGCAGAATATTAACATTATCTATAGTGTATCACAATGTTGTTTTAACACAAAATCATAATTTTTGATTTTCATTATTTATGTGACATACATATCAGTTTGAAATTTATACATACAGATAGAAAACTTGTATAATTTTGATCTGATGAAAGCATTTTACATGTACAAACACAGCCAAGTTAGAATAAATGGATCAACCATACAAAGATGTCTCTTTTTCTTTTTTAATATCACAAGATTTATAAAAGAGCAATACATGTAAAAATGTAATGTAAAAATGGGCAAGTTAATCAAGAAAAATTTATAGGGTATTTGAACCCCTTTTTCATTGCAACTCGAACAAGAAGCAACATGAAATAGTTAAATATAAGTTCAGATGAAATTTGTATTGTGGTAATATTGTTTACTATATATTTTGCCTCTTCAACAAAGAGAAGAAAATCAATAATATTACCACTTATTTCTCTTATCTAAAACTGATATGAAGTTGATGTTTTTAATTTAATGTAATATAGTGTTTAGACCTGTTCAGAAACATAAGGATAGTGGCATTCCAGCATCTGGAACAACTGCAGCAATACTTCAGACTTGGCCAAGAGTTCGGTCTTGGCATACAGTCACAGCAGTGTTATTCCAGTCTTCTAAATTGGCTAGAATCAATAATACTGTGTGTGTTATTTGGATATGTAAAGCTATTATTAAGAGAAGTATTTATACCTGACACTAACCAGTAGTAAACAATAGCAAAAAACTTTTATTCTGGAGTTTTGGTGACTCTACCTTAGATCTTCTTCAGGGAAAATAACAGAATACTTCATTACAGATGATTTGTTATAGATTCTAACCATGACCCAGAAAACAAATGCTGTAGTTTTCATGCCCTTCACTTGAATTTTTCTTATTCTATCATTTTTATTTAAGTTGTGCTTTCTTGCAGGCATTATGTGTTAGAGTGATAATTCCTGGTCTATTTGAAAAAAGTTTGATGCAGTCAGACAAACAAACTCACACAGACGTAACTTTATGTAATAAACTATGTGTACAGTAAACAATAAAGTATAGTTATGGTACTTATGATAGTGTACAGAGTATGAAACAGTTATGAGCATTCAGTGTATGACAGGGTTTTATGAGTTGAAACAAAGAAAGTCACAAAAATGAAGAATAAAACCCATAGAAAAGAAAAAAGTAGCTAAAAGATATTTATAGCAGTCTACCAAATGGGCCAAAGCTACATTATTGCAAAGTAAAATAAATGTAAAGTTGTAATGAGGGCAAACTTAGATGAATATGTAGAAACATCTGAATGTGTGTTCACAAAGTGATAAGCATATGGTTTTGGAGGAACTGAGCATATGTATTTTAGACCTAAATAAGTTAAGAAAGTCCATAGAAATTGTATTTAGTGTAATATTCATTATTTATAGGAAATTACTTATGGGTTAAGTGTTGTTTGTGTGAAATACTTTAAAAATAAAAGCTGAAATTGAAGCCAGTCATCATGTGATGACAATGACATTGTGCCTTCGTGTAGTTTTCTTGTTGCATTAGAAAGTTTGACTAAGCAAAAAACAGGTAGGTGATTCTGAATGCAAAAAGCCAATATACAATCCATGCTCCTTAGACAATAACCTTTCTAATGATATGAGATTTGTAGTGTTTGATTGAAAAATTTGCGAGAAAAGACAAACAGACAAACGTAAGCATATTATTTATACAGATATTCCTTAATGAATGTGAATTGTATGGTCACCAAAAGTTTGGAATAAAAGGATTTTCTGCTTGTGTATTCTAATATAATTTTTAACATTAACCTTATATAAGTAAAGCTTGACAATAAATTCTACATGTAATTTAGAAGATCCTGTATATTTTGTCTACAGATTATACATGCCTGGTTTTTTGTACAATGTGTTTAAGCAACTGAACAATTATGCATAATATAAATAGAAATAATTGTTTTTTGTTTTTTTTCAGAAGCATTAATAGAGTATGGCATGTACTTTATTCATCTGATGATATGGAGTAACAAAGATGTTTGTAGTTCAACCAATTTGACACTTTATGCTTTTCCATTGGTTGCACTGTGCCAAGTTTATGTAGAAGCATATGTTGCATATGATTGGGTAGGTCGAATGGAGTTTTTTGTTTTGAAAGGTTTATATTAAATTATATTGTTTTAGCATGAGTTTAAATAACTTACTTTCATTGTCATTTTTCATATGTTACTCTTATAACTCCTATGTTGTTACACCAAAGGACATGGTAGATTGGATACATTTTTCAAAGCTTGTAGCATCTTCAAGTCTTAATGAAAAAAGTTGAATTCATGTATACTGGTGTTTATTAATTTGATATTTTGTAGGGACTTTACATAATCTGAACCCTTTTTGTGATACTGTAAATTGTAGTAGAAGCTGTTCTATATATATGTCTAAATATGTGGATTATTTATTTTCATTGTTAATGGACCTTTTAATATTAGAAAAATATTCTCTATAAGAGAAAATTATCTTACAAATGTATTTTTTGAATAATGATTCTAATAAAAATAAAGTTAATATATAAAATTTGTTAACAATGCAAAAAAAAGATGGGTAATTCAAGATTTCTGCTCTTTAGAATGCCTCACAGTTTATTAAGTTATGAGCATTGTCACTTTTTTTTACAGGCTGAAGATTTTGTGCTTGCCTGTTCAATTCCTTCTGACAGAACTCCACTAACTTATCAGTTGTATATCAATTTAACTGAGAAATTGGCTCCTGTAACTTTGCCACAGTTCAGTTATGTCTTTCGATTTATTGGTCTACCTCCCATTAATGGAAGAAGTTCTAGTTTTACTGCTAAGGTAATCAGGTCTATCTCCCATTAAAGGAAGAACTTTTAGTTTTACTGGTAAGATAATCACTTCTGTTGTCTGTCTATAATATATTTCAAAAGTTATTACACTTTTTTTTTATAATTGAAAATAAAATTTATAGGCTTTTATCTAGTCTAGTAAAGACGTATTTTCATCAAGAATATTAGTTGGTTTTAATGAAATGCATGTATAGTTATCTCATTTCTAATGTGGAAGTTGGCTATAATATGGTAATTATATTTTACTGGAATTTATCTATAAACACTTTCATACTTAATAAAGACAGAGAGTAATCTTAAACATGTAAAAAAAAATAGTGGAGTTTGTAAAGTTTTATTAAAAGGTGAATAAAACTACTTTATAGAAAAATAATAAACACTTTTAAAAGTTTAATTGGTACAGTTTTAAGTTTAATATATTACTAGCAAAGACCTGCAAAACTTTTGCAGTCAAATTAATATCTTTATTGCAACAGTACCTCTTTAAATACAGGATTTCTAGAGTAATACAAGAGATATATAACTGCAGACACCAACATATACAAGTCAGTTTGTTTTATGCCTAACATTAGTTAAGCCATTATTAATTAAGGCCTATACTTAGCAAAGAGATAAATTAACATTGTAACTTGTGTATGGTTTTTGTTTTAGTTTAGTTAAGGCAAAACTTTGCTGTACTTAATACTATCAATAAATGAATTTATAATGTTTTTCTATGACCTAATTTCAGATTTTTTTAAAAGCTTTGATAAGCTTTTAATATATTGATGTACAAAATGTCTACTAAAATATATTTATATCGACCTTTTGTTTACATACGTTTAAATAAAGTGCACACTTATGCACATTTAGACAGAAAGGTGCACACACATTTTCAGGACAGCCAAATTGAGCATTATTATAATAGATGTTTTATACAACAAATACATTTTGAATGTTGTTGTATACTCTGCTTTTAAGCATTTTCTGTAGTTTTTTATTTTTCTATGAGGTGTGTGACAAGTTTGGAGTGTGCCAGTGGTTCCCTTCTAATCCAGTTCAGGTTACCTTGCCAACAAATGTTACACAGAGTGCAAAGACTCTTAATGATCTAACAGAAAGAGCCCCAAAAACAGGTTTCTTTAACATTTTGTTTGTTTTTACTGAGATTTTGTAGAATATGTGCATAATAAATTTCATCATTGTTTGTGTCTGTGTGTATGATGATTTATGTTTCCAATTAACTATCAAGGTATAAAAATGTTATCTATTTTGTCATAGTCTTCAATTAATTATGTTTAATTTTGCTTATACTTAAATTTATATTGATGTTTTATGTTATATATAATTGACATTTTTATTCAATATTATATTTTAATGCCCACCAGAACTACAAGTAGTGCAAACATTGGGCTTTGGTGCTACTGTCATTCAGGCCACTAAATAATGTTTTCAGTGTTCTTAAATAATCCTTTTTTGTTTTTCTTGTTTCATTCTATTTGTGCATTTTACAGCTTACCTTCAACATTATATTTTATACTGATGTATTCAGTTATTAAGAATTGTTTCTTGCAGTATTAATTATCGAAAAAATATAATTATCCTAAAATATTCAATTTTAAAATGAATATGGAGATTATTTAACTTTAGTATTTTTTTTTGGTATACATGTGGTTAAATGATTCTCCTACCTTAAAAGTAATTGAGTGCTTGAGAGATGATTGAACTTTATAGAAATGTGGTGTGAATTTTAAACTACAGAGTTACTTCTACACTAAAAGAAACAAGAAGTTGTAGTGCTAACATATGTGTTAATGATTAGTTAGAACATAAATAATGATTTACTTTATATCAAAAGTGCTTTCAGATTTAGAAGCTTTATTTTTATTTTATTTCTAAATATAATGAAAGATACAAATAATTAATTTATGGTTTAGTGATTTCAAAAGTAGCATTTCAGTTCATTTGTGTTGAAGAGACAATAAACTTCTCATACTGTTTTTTTTAATAAATTAATATTTATTTTATCAATAAGCTTTTAAAGATCATGTCCATGTAGTTAAAAAATAGAAAATAAAAATATTGTGTATTCTTTAATTTGACACATGTACCTTGCTTCATAGAATTGTTCTATAAAAAAACATTTAACACATCTTCTTTAATAATACATTTAATTGTCATTTGAACATTGAAATAATTATTCTGTAGATTAAATTGATATATATATATATATGTGTGTGTAGAATTATCTAATTTCATCATAATTCCTCTCTTTGACAGCACTACCCACTTTAACTTTCTTCTCCAGAACCACAAGAAAATTTCAATGAACAAATTTATGCAGTGTTTTCAGTTAACAAGTCCTTAAAGTACCACTAGGATGAGGTCTCATTTTGTTTTGTTTTCACAGCAACACACGTTTTTATTTAGTTTCCCAAAACATTGTTAATTTCTGTAAATGAACTTATTGTTTTTATTTATTATTAGTAAGAGATGTGCTTAATATCTTTTGAGAACATGTGCTTATGTTAATAAATTCTTATTGCTAGGAGAACTGCACACATTATGAAGTTACTTAAAATAACATAAAAATGCAAATACTTCTTACATGTAGCTATTAAAGAAGTATTATATAATGCATTTAAGATATAAAATAAAGGTATATAGGACATAAAAATTTATTTTCTTCAAATATATTAGTAATGCAGATAACTTAGAAACCTGAAAGTAAATATCAAGAAGTTATACTTCTTCAGAAGTCTTCTTTATTTGTGGTCAAATTATGTATTGTTTACAGACCTAAGTGTTTTATATTAAATGATTTTACATAATATTGATAAAAGGGAAAAATTAATACCTTTAATATAGCTTTCTTTGTTCTGTTTTGTGACACAATATACAACACAACTTAAATGAAAGTTGAGATGTGTATATTATAGTACAGTACTTATAACCAACAGTTTTATGTGACAAACAACTTTTAAATTCTCATTAAGACGATGCATATGTACTTTATCACGTTGCATTAAATGCTTTTATATGAATTTGAATTTTATGTTGTTATTTTATTTTTGTAGGAAATTTGTTACAAGCCTTGAACTTGGTGTCTCTCGCTGCATCTGCCTCAAGCTCCAGTTTATCCACAGAGGAATCTCAGTTAATGATCAGTTATGTCACTGATATTATTGCTAATCAGCCACTGACATTAGGAGATGCTGCTGTTATGATTGACAGCATCAACCCCTTGTTGTCAAGTAATGACCAAATGACAAGATTAAAAACTATTGCTTGTATTGAGAGAATTATCTTGAAAGCGAGAGCTTTTGAGGTGAGCTTTGCATTTTTAATACAAGTAGATTTATGAAAATTTTATAACCTAAACCAGTTTTTGAAAAGACAGGTAATTCAGTGATGTAAAATAAATAAAAAAATCATAGCTTCTGCTATGGCTATGACTGTTTATGTTTTTCATTTTTTAAGATATAAACAATATTTAACATATACTATATCTTATCATATATTATTCTGGTTATTGGAACTAACAAGTACAGACCTTTAAAGTTTTTATTGTCTTATCAATTGCAAATTCCTCAAAGAATGTGTTTTTTTTCCACAATTTTTATGTTTGATAAGTTTCATCTCTACCATTAATGTGAATTACAAGTTACTTAAATAACAAGAACTGCAGAACAACAACTAGACATTAACTAGAGTAAGATCATTTCTAATATATATATCTAACAGGATCTTATGTGTAAGTAAATTGTATGAACAAAATAGTAAGAAAAGAGTCATTGTTCTCGAGTTTCTTCCAGACGAAATTATAGCCAGAAAATATTCAAGTGTACTTTTGATTAATATCGGTAGAGAAACCACAGTTCGTTATAGTCATGGATGATTAATATCCATAGAGAAACCACAGTTCGTTATAGTCATGGGTGACTAATATCCATAGAGAAACCACAGTTTGTTATAGTCTTGGGTGATCAATATCCATAGAGAAACCACAGTTTGTTATAGTCATGGATGATTAATATCCGTAGAGAAACCACAGTTTGTTATAATCATGGATGATTAATATCCGTAGAGAAACCACAGTTTGTTATAGTCATGGATGATTAATATCCGTAGAGAAACTACAGTTTGTTATAGTCATGGATGATTAATATCCGTAGAGAAACTACAGTTTGTTATAGTCTTGGGTGATCAATATCCATAGAGAAACCACAGTTTGTTATAGTCATGGACGATTAATATCCGTAGAGAAACTACAGTTTGTTATAGTCATGGATGATTAATATCCATAGAGAAACAACAGTTTGTTATAGTCATGGATGATTAATATCCATAGAGAAACAAACCACAGTTCATTATAGTCATGGATGTTGGTGATTCTAATATTTTCTTAGATTTACATTGTTATTATTTATTCAAGAATGTATACTCAGTGCTACTGCAGATGTGTGTTTTTCATGATGAAGTGTACATGTGTAAGCACCTTAGTGACATCTTCAGCATTTACATGTGCTGAGTAATTGAAGATGATGAATTCATGTGAAGTAGAAGAATTCTAAAATTGTATACATATTAAGATTGTTCATAATTTCATTAAACAATGCCAGATTATAGCACAGGACAATCTTTTTATCTGAGTTCAGGGTTTTTGGGGTTCCCAGGTGGGCATTAGAAAAGATTCTTAAAAAACGAAACATAGAAAAAATGTCGAAAGAGTTTATTGAATTGCATAATTTATTCAATTAAATGATATGAGAAATTTAAGTTATATGCAAAATTGGGTTGATATGAGAAATATTTTCTAAGAGACATTTTAACATTGATCATAAAACATTGAAAAATTAGTCTAAATGTAAAGTACAGAAATTATATTCATGGGGTGTGTCAGCTTTTTTCAGATAAAACTGACAAAGTATAGTATAACCAAATTCTCCAAAACATGATACTTTTGTTATACAGAAGTTTCCTTAAGGAAAGGCATCTTGTTTTATATGTTCAGAATACTTTGATAATGTGAGCCAAACATGTACATGTTTTTTATTCATTATGATAACTTATTTTTCAGTCATTCATTAGTTTTTCAAATCTACTGAAAGAAACTTTAATGGAAAAGTGTCTGTAAACATAAGGCATACAGTATTAATACAAAGTTTTTAGAAAGGGGAATGTGTAGTTTGACACCTATAGTTTTATCTTTTACTTCCCTGAAAATGGTGATCATATGATTACAAAATTTGCAAAGCATTATGCATTTAGTCATGTTTCAATAACCTTTTGCCAAACTGTTAATGCTATCTAGGGATGTGTCAGGAAAAGTAACTGAAATCTTAAGTTGGTCTCTTTAAGTTACGTATGGACTTTGTTTTTATTAATGTCTTCCCTACTAGGTATTACTTGTAAAGTAGACAGTATTAACCATTTGAGTGCGTAATTAAATTTCAGTTGAGTTCTTAAAAAGTGTCAATTATCCACTAAAGAATGAAATGTAGAATTTGACCTTTTTTTAGTACTTTTTCAATATCAAAATCTACTAGTTGCAATTTTGCTCGATGATATATGAAGGCAGGAACTTCAAGGATGTGTGAGTATCCTGATGCTTTATGTTTTTATGAAACTGTGGGGTAAATCCACTTGTTGCACCAAACGGCTATAAATGTCAAGTCAGATAAATCTGATTATAGATCCAAAGGGTTAAGTAGGGACCCTTAAATCTTGCTGAAAATAATAAGAAATCTCTTTAGTCAATCTTACCAGTAACTGAAGTAATGCAACACAATTAGTGCTACTTAATTGCGGGTAGCAAATATTGATTGATTCAGGTGTCATCATGACCATGTATGGTGAATAAAACTGTGTTTTTGTCTCCAGATAAACCCATCAGTGGCAGTTATACAAGATGCCTTTATTAAGATTGCTAGAGCTATGGTGGTATTTCAAGATGATTTAAAGAATCTTCAAAGATCTGCTAGGGCTCTTCAGCGATTGACTGGAGTGGCTGCTTCTGTACTTTCCATTGGACAGAAACTTGAACTGAATTCACAGGCTATAAACTTTCCCATGGCAGTTTTACAACATACTTTACTAAATAAAGAAAGTAATATCATCATAGTCAAAGGGAAAAAAGGAAATGAAAGTGTGGAAGCCATGACAGATGTAAATACTGTCCTTGAAAATAGGTGATGGTATTGTTTTTGTTTTACTATGAAATATCATTAAATATTGTCAATTTTAACAAAGTGTTAAACTACTAAAACTATTTCTCCCTATTCTAAAGATATATGAAAAAAACATAAACTTTCTATTTCACAAGCAGCATCTGTTTATTGCTTGAGAACCTGGAAGAGTATTGTATACTAGGTGAAAAGAACATTTTATATCTCATGTATGTCAACACTTCCATGATACATATCAAAATAAAAAAAAACAAAACTTGAAATCTCTGTTTTACAAAATGAAAATTATATTACTAGGCACGAAACTGAAGAAGCCATCATACTTAAATTATTGAAACCATCAATAAATAAAATGGCAGGGTTAATTAGTACTTATTTTAATTCTCTTTAATCACCTACTTGGTGCATTTATTGTGTATTTTATTTTTTATCCCTGATGGTGCCATGTTAACATTGTAAATATTGTGATATATTTCATTTTAAAGAATATCGCATTTTAATTGTTTTAATTTGTTAGAATGTGAGCAGGTATCGAAAATATTTTGTGATAGGTATATTTTTCTTTACATTCACACATATTTTCAAGATATGCTTATCATTGTTTCTATTTTTTTAAACATCTAGGTTCAAACAGTGGACTTGTGCATCAAAAACATGTGAAGGAATAGTACTAGCTGTTTTATTATATCCTGTACTTAACCCTTTCCTGGAAGATCCATACTGCAGACGGCTAACTCCCGTCATCACTGTTGAACTAAGAACTCCAGGAACAGGTACTGGATAATGTTTAACCTTTATACTCTGTGGACATGTGATAAAAATATCTTTCTACTAATTAGTTTATACAAAACACTATGTCCAGTTTTTTCTGTAGATAATATTGGTATTTCTGAACAAAAATGTTGCATAGCCAGGTTACTGGAGTGTCAAATACAAACTTTTCCAGAGACAGTTTACCTCTTTAGCTTAGAGTTTACTTTATATGGCAATTTGATCTTGTCTATTTAATTTTGTGTTATTTTATTAATGTCATGTCTACTTCAGATATATGCATTAATTTCTACATTTGATATTTTTTATTTTATTTTTTAAGCACCTGAAATGTATTCATTATTTTTAAGCAGGGTTTTGGCTAATAATTTAAGTTTAATCCTGCTTCATGAGCCATTTTACAATAAGTTTTTAAAATGACTCATGAAGTAGGGTTAAATCTAAATTCTTAGCCAAAACCCTACTTTACCCATTTCCCATGGATCAGATTTAAGCTTTATAGTTTCATATATTTATTAGATTATCGCATAACCACATTTTATTTAATAATATGGCCAGTGGTGTAATCATTTTATTTGGTTAAGTAAGATTCTATTACAATATTTATATGTATATCACTTTATTTTGTCTCCTCTGACAGGTAAACTCATACAATTAAACAGTGTTTCAAATTCTGTCTGTATAAAACTAAGTCAGACTGTCAGTGAATCAGGAGAAGGCTTAGTGCCTAAGTGTCACTTTTGGGACCATAATGAAAAAGCCTGGAAAATGATTGGTGTTGAAACATTAGGTGTTACAAGAGGAACGGTGTCCTGCTGTTCAAACCATCTTACTGCCTTCACTGTCTTAGAGGTTCCTTCGGGTAAGTAACTAAAGTAGTACATAACTCAATAACTGTGTAATTGAAAGTTACTCAGGGTTTTTAATTTTAAGAAAGAGAGGAGGATATTTTACAAGGAATTTTAGAAGATGGGCATTTTATAACTGTTTCTGAACTCTTTTGTTACATTATTACAATTTTAGATATATATATTGGAGCACTTATCTCTTTTTTTTTCATGACTTGCATCTGTATGTATTAACTTTAAAGTGAATTATACACAGAATTGAATTTGAATTGCACACTCATTAGTATGTATGGACTTTTTTTTTCATTACACTAATTATGTGAAAATGAGTTGTTTATAATTCATTAGAAATTCTTTTTTCACTTATTTTGTTTCATCTGTCACAAATTTTTCAGTAATTGTAAAGAAAACATTTATAAACTGAGTATAATTTTTTTTTAGGGCTTAGTACTTCAGCTGTAGCAGGTATTGTTGTAGCTTCCATAATAATAGTTTTGATTCTTGGAGCTATGGTTACTTTATTTGTATATAATAAACATACAAATAATAGAAATGAATAATTTCATCAGTGAAATAAGAAAAATACTTAGTTATAACTTTACAATTTATTTAAGACTTTAATAAAAAATTAATCTGTCTCCAAAAATTCCAGATTTTGCAGGATTACGTATCTACTTTTTCATTGGCAAATATTCAGACCTGTTGTGCTCTTAACACATTTTAATGAAGGCTAACTAATATTATTAGTCAGTAAATCATGCTGTTTTGCTCATGTATTTTGATTTGTTAATATTTGTGGATCTTTTTGTAATTTTATTGTTTTGTTTTCACTAGAAGAATGAATTTTTGATCCTGAAGTTTAGAAACAATATCCTAAAAAAACGTGATTAAAAATATTTTACCTAGAGTTTCATTGACATTATGTTTCTATAATGATTAAACATTTAGTACTTGTTTACGTACAACCTAGATACCATAAAATGATTCTTTTTATCAGAAGTTACTGGATTACTGTTATCCATAAACTGTTTAGAAAGGTTTTGAAGGTGGACTTATATCACATTGTTTAATAAAAACTTCTGAAAGAATGCTTAGAATAATTCATTTCTTATATTATATGTAGTATAGTGTAATACATATATTCAATACATCAAACCTGTTGTATTTAAAAACTAGAAGTAATTTTTAGAAACAAGTTCAGGAATTTCTTAGAGATGTTTTTTCTGAAGTTTTTTTAATCTTTTCCACGTTTATGATTATATAAATCTAGTTTATTGATTATATGAAAATGTTTTATGAAGAATTTTCTGGCAATTAAAAGAGAACTTATACTAAGCTGAGGTAATTTTGTTAATCTTAAATACATTTTAAATATTTATAAAATGAAATATCTGTCTTAATGTGAGATAATTCAATATTTACCACATCACTTCTTAAGTTATAAATCTTACACTATCCTCTCTTATGAAAAAAAAAAAAAGGTTTCATAATCCTGTGTATAATTTTTTTCTGAGATTAATAAATATTTAAACATCAAGTATGCTGTCATATGTTTCAGTTTTATTGCTGTTTGTGGAGATTTGTGGCTATAATTTAGCTTGAATACTAGTAGAGAAAGAGGGTTGTGAACTTGTGATATGTTTTTATTTTATGATCATTATCAAAATGTAATGACTTTCAAGAAATATGTAGAACGTACATTAAAACTCAAAAGTGTAGTTATATCATACAATAAACGTTTTAAGGAACAAATATTCTTTATCATGTTACTTCAGTTACTACAAGTAAAAGAAAAGATTAGGAAGAAAAAATATTTTATTAGATTTTCCATCATTACTATCTCCTCACTTATCAATTCCAAATAAAAGAAGGAATGCAGGCTTCCATTGGTTCCTTGTATTGAAACATACATATATATTAACCTAAACATTCTATACAAAAATACTTGGTACATCCACATAAAATATTCAAAACATTTCAGACAATTTATTTATTATATTCTTATGTATAACTACACATTGTGTTTCTATATGAATAAATATAAATATTTTGACTAATCACTGGTATGTTTCTAATTCCTAAGGTAAAGCAGTTGTAATTTTTGCAGTGTTCTCTTGTGAAATAATGAATGTTTTAATAACACTTGTTATGCTTTCTGCACCAGACAATGAAGTCATAATTTGTACTTGGCTTACAATCTGACATGTTGACCAGGCTGTAATATACTTTTCAGTAATCTAATAACAATGTACATGTATCATATAAATCTAAACATTGATGTAATTTACAGTGTAGCAGTTGGCCCTTTCACTTTTTCCATGAAGGATTGTCCCCTTCAAATTTAAATAACAATAATTGAGTCCTAGATGTATTTTGCAAAGTATATTGCACCCATTCCCCCCAATTTTGAAATCATAGTTATGTTCTTAAGTTTAAACGACTTTAGTAATACTTATTATCTTGCATTAAAATTTCTAAAAACATTTTATGCTATAAACTAATATTTCTATTTACTGATACCATACGTACACAGTTATTACAGAAAAATAATCTAATTAAATATTCACACAACTTTATGATATTAATAAATTCACCTAATTGCAGGAACAAGTGGATAATTTTAAGTCTACGAAAACTTTACAAATGTAACATTTATATCTTTACTTGTGAAATTTTACACTAACTCTATCATGTAAAAAGAGAGAATCATTTTCATGTTATGACAGAAGTTAGGTAACCTAAAGTATCATTTTTTATTTTCCACGTTCAAAAAATATATTTATAATAATAACACTGTAAGATGGTTTCCAGTTTTCCCAATATTCAGCTAAAATGAATAGATAATTATATATTAATTAGTCTGAAATGTATTTTCATTATATTTCCCATCTACATCTTTTTTTTGTAACTTATTTTTGTGTGGTAATGAAACTTATTTTTCTGGAAGGAAGAAATCACAATTTATAATAATTAGACTGACAGTATGATAAAATTAATTTAATGTGCATAGTGTAGGAAAATATTGTTCTTATTGGGCATTATGGGAAATGCTCGAAGATGCTCTCTTGTAGTTATGTGCATCCTTCTGAAGTCATTAACCAGTAAAGAATGAGGAATTTTGAAAGCCTTAGATTGCTCGACCAATTCAATTTGTGGTTTTTAAGTTTCTAGAAACCAAGAGTATGCGAATAAAGATATGAAGTGATGATATGCCAATATTTCAGAATTAACTCCGTTTAATTAAGTAAACTATTATTTATAACTTGTGCATGAAAACACAAAAATTGATTATTTATCAGTTTCATTTACAGTGCAGTTTCAATTAATTGTTGTAATATTTTGATTTATTATTTTCTTGAAATAACATTTTTTTACATTATATCACACACATCATTATAATTACCGAATTCCCAGAAATTATTTCTACCCACTGCACCCTGAGCCTTAACTGACCACAACTCTGTTTAGGAAGGCAAAATATATGGAAAAACAGAAGAGAAATCATCTTTGAATGTAGTTTTTCATTGATCTAAAATATGTTTCATCGTTCATTAAATCGTCTCCATCTCTTACATTTGTGTCTGTTTATGTGTGCTTTCTGTGATTTAATCACTTTGTGTGTTTGTTAAATTTCACGCAAAGCTTCTGGTGGGCTATTCTGCGTAAGCTGTTCCTAATTTATTAGTGATAAACTAGAGGGAAGGCAGCTAGTCAACACCTCCCGCCGCCAACTTTTGGGCTACTATTTACCAGCGAATAGTTGATTAATCATCACATTATAACACCCCCTCACGGCTGAAAAGGGGCGAGCATGTTCAGTTATGAGATTCGAACCCGCAGACTGCGAGTTGAGTGTCGTGACCGTTAGGCCAGATCAGTAAGACCGATTAATTTCAACAGAAAATGGCAGTCGACCTTAGCATTCAGTACCGCGTACGCTCGTCACAAATATGCACAGACAAAAGAAATCTGAAGTTCGACTTGTGCGATTCAGAGTTTAAGTTATTTGTAAGCACTTATTACAAAACGTAGTCCTAACAGTAATAACTGAAACAGTTTTAAAATAATATGATAAACTGAAATCAAAATGAGTCTATAAGACAATTGATTTAAAGTAACGTTTTGATAACTTTACTGTGTTTTGATTTTTCTTGGATGCGATTGTTACGCTCTTAAAGAAAGGCCACTTAATCATTCTGAAGCTTAAGCAAAAAGTCTGAACACAAAACATTCAATCAAAACCATAGTGTGCAGGTCCTGTTTACAAATGGCATATTCATTTCAAACACTAATTTTGTAATTGCTTATGATTTCATACCTGACCCTTCGCACAAAATGTTTTATTTTACCGCTAATAAAAAAGTTGACACGTATTAAAAAAGGATATACATTAGTGTTGTTGTTGTTTATTATTAAGTACAAAGCTACAAAGAGGGCTATCTGTGCTCGGCCCACCACGGGTATCGAAACCCGGTTACTAGCGGTATAAGTCCGTAGACATACCGCTGTGCCACTGGGGGGCATACATTAGTGTAATATAAACCTAGTTTCAAGGAGAGAGAACCAATTTCACTTTCTAAGATTAGTTCTGGGAAATTTTTTAGCATTTTCTCTGTTTCAAACGAAAGACAAGTTAGTAAATCGTCCACATTCCAAACACTTTGAATATTTAAGAAAGAGGTCGTAGAAATGTAATAATTTAAAGCTGTGAATCACGGTGTTGCTATACTTCGTTATTTTGGCAATCTTTCAACGACTGCGCTTCCTCATAATGATTATTTTAGTGTAAAACTACGCAGTAGGCTATCTGTGCACTGTTCTCCGCGGGAATCGATCCAAGGATTTTAGCAATGGACACCCGTAAACTTACCGTTGACCCAGCGGGGGACATCCCCTCATAATGACATATAAAGTGCCGGGGAAACATACCTCCCCCCAGTAGTTGATCATTATGAGTGTGGACTAACTATATTTTAATCAGAATGCAATAATACGGTTTATTTTTAAATAATATTTTCAAGATAAAAGACATTTTTGGTGATACTTCAGAATTTTCACAATGAGTGATATTTGGCACGTAAGGCGTCTTTTCTTCATTTTACATTTCTTCTATTTGAATTTGAACAGTAGTATTATCTAGAACATCGCCGGAGCCATCGTTCCAGGTCTCTTTATTTTCTTATTTTGTTCTTTACGATTCTCTGTTTATTCTTTAGTGAAACCAGTGGTTAAAGTGGAAATCTGGAGCTGGTGGAGAAGGGTTAGTGCCTACCCACTGTGTCGTTTCTCTTGTCTGGAGCTGGTGGAGAAGGGTTAGTGCCTACCCACTGTGTCGTTTCTCTTGTCTGGAGCTGGTGGAGAAGGGTTAGTGCCTACCCACTGTGTCGTTTCTCTTGTCTGGAGCTGTTGGAAAAGGGTTAGTGCCTACCCACTGTGTCGTTTCTTTTGTCTGGAGCTGGTGGAGAAGGGTTAGTGCCTACCCACTGTGTCGTTTCTCTTGGAAAACTTTAAAAAAAATCAGCTATCCAGTGTAACATCTTATTAAGTGTGTACTAATTTTTTGGGGACAAACCACACCTATCTCTTTCAGATCCACCTGGTTATAGATAGTTAGCCTCAACTTCAATATTGCACGGAGAAGACCAGTTTTTGAGTAAGATTTTATGCTCCTCTTTGCAGCTCCTCCCCAAACGTTGAATTAAACTGTAATATTGTTTCAGTTTTCCTTGCCCTCCTTTATTTCATACAGTTAGAGAGGTTCTCGTTAACGATTTTCTTAGCTGGGGAGATACCACCTGGACTCACTCTCATTTTAACCACTGAGCAAAATACCTTCGATTTTAGTGTACAAAACATCAGTGATAATAATAATTTTAAATTAAAGAAAATTATTATTCATTTTGCAACAAAACGTAAGATTAATTATATTTTATAATAACCGTCAATAGGTCATAAGTGACAAATGTTCTTGTTAGAACATGCCTTATAAAAGATAGATTCATATTAACGTTTCAGAACGTATTAGCTAATGCTTACTTGTACAGCAGTCTAGGTGGCACCGCCAAACGCAGAACAAATTTGCACTGAAACATGGACTGTATGACACTGCACAAGGTTAAGCACGTAGAAAAACACAAGTGTACATCTCAAATAGTTTCTAGACTAAGAATTATTAGTTATTTCACTGGGTAGCCCCCTAGTGGCTCAGTGGTAAGTCAAAAGGCTTAGGACGCTAAAAGTCGGGTTTCGATACGCGCGGTGGGCACAGCACAGGTAGCCCATTGTGTAGCTTTGTACTTAAACAAACAATCAAAATTCGCTGAGTAGAGAACGTTGCTGGCCCAAAGAAACTTACTTCAGATGTTCTGTTAAGGCGTTACTTAATAATTTAAATGAATTCGAAGCTTATTATAGGATATTAAGCCATTTACTAATAAATAGAATTAATTTGAAACTTACTGTAGAACATCAAACCATTTATTAATAACCAAAAATAGATCAAAGCCTCTCCCAAACGGCCATGTTTATAGCTGTGATGAAATTTTCTTCATCACTTTTTTATTTTTTAATGATGCACGAATGGTCATCTTGTAATGAAACGGCCCGGCATGGCCATGGGGTTAAGGGCGTTCGACTCGCAATCAGAGAGTCGCGGGTTCGAATCCTCGTCTCACCAAACATACCCACCCTTTCAGCCGGGGGGGGGGGGGCGTTATAACGTAACAGTCAATCCCACTATTCGTTTTATAAAAGAGTAGCCCAAGAATTGGCGGTGGATGGTGATGACTAGCTGCCTTCCCTCTAGTCTTTCACTGCTAAATTAGGGACGGCTAGCGCAGATAACCCTCGTGTAGCTTTGCGCGAAATTCAAAACAAACCAAACCAAATCGTTCAAAATATCAGATATTCTAAGGCTAGCGCAATCGGCCTTGATCTCGCTCATCCTATTATAAAGATGATCCATTATGTGTATGTCTGTGTTACCATCCATCACCCAAAGTTGACTGGTTCGAATACTATATCTTTTAATATGGTAACTGGAAACTGTCAGATGAAGTACATGTGCTACTATGTTTTATGATATTTGCCTGAGAAGGGTGACAAAAATAGACCCTGAAATAGGGCATATTTAAATTTTGTTACACACTTTTGGCCCGCATGACCCAGAGTTGGCTAGCTCGATTACCATAATTTTCTGTGTGGTAACTGGAAACTGTCTGATAGTGTACATGGAATATGTTATTTTAGATTTATTCCTAAGAAAGGGAATAGAAAACCCCCTGAATTAGAGCACATTGCTGCTGTTTTATAGTCTTTTGACTTTGAACTTTAAGACATAAATACATAATTAATTCACTGAGTCAATTATTATTATCCACAAAGCAGGGTATGCAATTAGCGTCTAAAGAGATCATTATGGATTTAATAACAAAAGAACAAAGGAAAGGGAACATTATCTAACATTGTTCTTTGCACAGTTTTTGCTTCCTTAACGGGTACCCTCATCTAGTAAGTATTAAAACTTCACGAAAAACCACAGCAAACGAACATGAAGTTTGTTCGTGAAGATCCTGAATCTTTAAGGTAATTCATATCAATTGTTGTCTCAAAATGCACCAAACTGCCTCGTTTCTTTCAAACGTTTCGGAGGGATCATACTCCTGGACTCCCCTAGATGCCTTCGGCACTTTCTGACCCTTGGCGTCTATGAAATACGTGTATTTATTATGGTAATGTGTAAGGCTACTAATCGTTTTAAGAAGAAAAATTGTAAAATTAATCAAGATTTATTCATGTTCATATATTAGTATTATACTGCATACCTAAATCAATTTTCTCGCAAACTATCACAATTTGTATTTCTATTCTTTGTTTCCCTCTCTCTAGCCCTCCAATGGCACAGCGGTATGTCTGTGGACTTACACTGCTAGAAGCCAGGTTTCGATACTCGTGGTGGGCAGAGCACAGATAGCCCATTGTGTAGCTTTGGGTTTAACTACAAACAAACATCTCTTTCTCCTTTTTTTTCAACAATACAAGATTGGTGATTTGAAAACAATCTGCGTTATTGGATCGATGAACACTGGCTAGACCAGATAATGGTAGCAATAGCTTCATTTAAGTTTAATATACATTCTGATCATAAGTAATATAGTTTCAATATTTATTAGCTATGCTCACTACTAGGTATATATGTTTAATTCCGATCTATATAGGTAACTTGCTCGGATCAGAAGTTAATATTAATTAATGATATTTCAAACTTTAAGTCACTTCTTTTTCATCCCTAAAACGCTTCCTTTAGACATCTTTTTACAAACGCTAGAAATCGGGTTTCGATACCCGTTGTGGGCAGAGCACAGATAGCCCATTGTGTAGCTTTGTGCTTAACTTCAAACAAACGGACATATCTAATAAAAAAACCAAACAATAATTTAATCTGTTTTAAAATGTTTCTTTTCCTTAATTTTTTTTAGTGTTCAACTTGTGTTTATTGTTAATTTAATGCTTACGTTAGCTTTACGTCACTCAGTTTTGATTGGCAATAGTTTATAAAGATTAAGAATATTGTTTTGTGACTTAAAGTTAAATAATATAATAAAATCGTAATTTGATGACATTTGTATCATTAAAATACACATTACCTTTGGTATTCTGAGAAATAGAAACTACTTAAAGATAATACTATTTCATAAAAAATTAACAAAAACTTGAACTAGGTCTTATATATTATAGAGGCCAACTCGTCAGAAAACCCTAAACAAATATTAGTGCGTAGACTGTACGAATTCTTTAGCATTATATTGCTGTAAGCTATATTTGTAAGGTTTTAATTTAGTTATTTGCTAGAGGGAGCTGTTAACACGATGATAACACTAGATTCAGAAAGTGTATAAAAGTAGTATTATACTACTTAGAATGTTCGTGAATATTAATGATTGAGATACTTTGCGAAATATCTAGAACCATGGATATATTATAAACATAAAAATTAGTCTTCAGTTCGTTCAGTGGTTGAGAAGTTAGTGAAATATTTGGAACAGTGTTAGTTATTGTGTATATTCAGTTATCCGATCGATTACCTGTGAAATTGCACAAGTAAATTTATTTGTACATTAGTCGTATTAATGATCAGTGTTCATTAACGAGTAAATTTGTGTTGAAAGTGAAAACGTTATTTGTGAACTTAGGCTTACAACTGTGTACAAGTGATAGAATCCTGTAGCAAACGTTAAAGAAGAAAGAAACGAATTTATCATCGTTACGTGGATTGGACTTTTAATTCTTTTCACTAAATAATTTAAAATACATGGCCAGGTGG